ACCACCTTACCGGGCAGCCGCCACAATCCCGTTATAAGCATGAATTGATCCTTCGAGAATGTCAACACGTTGCCACCAATTAAGAAACTCATGCTGTCGTCACTGCTCCCAGCAACCTCCCTTAACAGAAAGTGATGAACTACACCACTGCAGAACATCATCTCCAAGTCGACAAATCGACCAAATATTGTTCTTCTACGGAACATATCAAGTTGGTCCGCTGTGAGTTTATCCTTGATAAGCTTGTTGACATTGCTCAAGTGAGACATGCTGGTAGCTTGAGCCAGAAAGCGGTCATTCTCCTTAATCCTCAACTGATGGTCCATTGTGCACCTGCAACAAATTGAACAAGATATATGATGACAAATTAATCAGATAGAAAAACGGAAACACGCAAGTAGTTCAAAAATTTAATAATTGAACATGATACATAATCACGGATTAAGAAGACAGGGAAAGGGAAACATGCATCTAGTTCAAATACAAAATGTAAAACACTGTAATTTTTCTCGATCTCGCTGTTTCTCAATCTCGCTATTTCTCGATCTCGCTGTTTCTCGATCTCGCTGTTTCTCGATCTCGATGTTTCTCACTCTCGATGTTTCTCGATCTCGAGGTTTCCCGCTCTCGATGTTTCTCACTCTCGATGTTTCTCTACCTATTTCACACCCTATAATTGCAAATCAATGGAGCTTCTCTCGTTCTCGATATTTCTCGCTCTCGATCTTTCTACCTCTCGATGTTCTAGCTCTCGATATTTCTAGCTCTCGATTTTTCAAGTTCACTGTATCCATCACGATGATTCTCGATTTCGTTCTTCCTAGGACACTCACGATAATTGTAAATCAATGGAGATTCTCTCGTTCTCGATATGTCTCGCTCTCCATCTTTCTAGCTCTCGATGTTCTAGCTCCCGATTTCTCTCTCTCTCGACCTTTCATGTTCACTGTATTTCTCGATCTCATTTTTGGCTCTGGCTATTTCAACATCAGCCCCCCTCCCCTCAGTATTAGTTTTCAAAAACACGATTTTAGTCTCCATCGATTCATTTCCCTGGCGCCGATTACGTATTATTTTTCCCTTCTTCGAAAGCCCTAGATGTGTGCAGTGTAAAAAATCCACAAAAATCGCAAAAGAGACAGAAGAACAACTTCGGGGTTGTACAGAACTTACGAACAATAGCTAAAATAGTGGTAATTAAAACGAAAATCTTAAGCTATTCGAGAGATAAATGCACTAACCCAAATTTAACAATGAAATCTCCTTCGTTGTAATCTGCAACCAAAATCACTTCGTCTCACCGCTTGAAGACGACAGGGTCAGAGTTACCTTAGCGAGTCGCAATCGAAATACGAAGGAGAAAGATAACGAGATTTAGAGAAATGTAATTTCAATCGCAGGTGAAGACAGTCAAATTTGAGTCGAGCGAAGAATGCTACAGTGTGAGTGCGCTAAAGATGGAACGRACTATTCGTATTACCCAAGTAAGGGAGGAGGGAAAACTAAAATTTGGGCCAAGTTAAGGAGGGGCATTGGAGGTCATTTGGCAAAGTAGGTGATGTCAGCAAATGATTAGAAAACTTGTGTTTTGAGAAGGACGATTAAAAAACTTAAAAGCCTGCAGGAGGCTTATTTTGTCAATTTTCCCCAAATTCAGCCTCAAACACCACGAACTGCAGGGCCCTCAGCTGTTATGGCAGTACCTGAAGCTCTGACCTTAAAGAACAAATGCAAAGGTACATAAGAATAATGGTAGGAGATGGGAATAAACTTACTGTTGCATAGATTGTAACATATCTTATCAAAGCTAAAGAAAGAAATCCTATCCTTAAAGATTTTTTACATGTTCCACTCATGAAAAATAGTTTAATTAGCGTTTCTAAGCTAACTAAAGATAACTTGGTTGCTGTGGAACTTCATGAAATGCTGTGTGTTGTGAAGAAAAAGAGTTGAATGAAGTGCTGTCTGAAGGAAGATTTGAGCATGGCCTTACATGTATCAACAAATGGATACCTATATTATGTTGGTTTTTTGGATGATCATAGTAAATACACAGTTATTTCCCTTAAAAGGATAAAGGAGAAACAATAAATATGTTCAAACAATTTAAGACTCAAGCTGAAAATCAGTACAATCAGAATCCCTACCTTTAGAGATTGATGGATATATATTTTTTCAATTCGAAACAAATATTTAAGTTAAACAATAATTATTATTGTTATTAACGTTATATTCATAATGTGATCATATTTATGTCAATATTTTTTGTCGATTTTGTTTTGCGATACTATGAAAATATCAGTTCACTCGTTATGTCAATATCGTATGACGATACCTTCTATATATGACAAAATCTCTGTAATTTTCGGTACTTTTCTCCTTTGGAGTCACATCATAATCATAATTGACTTTGAGTGGAAATATTGATCCACTTGTCTTTGGTGGTTTGAACAACTTTGAAAAGGTCAAGATTGGTTCCAGATATAAACTTTCTAAAATATTCTTCCTTTTCAAGAAAAAAAGGAAAAAGAGGGAAGAAGTTCTATTAATAGACAAATCTAAAAAATCCTTTAGATGACAGACAATATAATTACAAACCTCCCACTTTTTGATGCTAAAATGATGGGTAATGCAACGTTGATTGAAGGTTGAATTTGAGGAAGAAAAGCAAAAAAGAAACACCAAAAGAAGGGTTAGAAGAAGAGGAGAAGAAAATAATTATCCATAATAAAATCTTTCTCCTCTTCTTTCACTTTCATTTCTTGAATTTCTACAAATTCTACAGAAAAACCCATTTCTTTTTTCTTTCTATTGAAACATTTCAAAGAAAGTGACCAATTTCATATTTATGGCTCCAAGCAAGATTAGAAGGGCTTTAGGAGCAGTGAAGGACAAGACGAGCATAGGCCTTGCCAAAGTTGGCAGCAGCACCTCATTGTCGGATCTTGAAGTCGCGATTGTGAAGGCCACGAGACACGAAGAGTACCCAGCGGAGGAGCGCCACATTCGAGAGATTTTGAGCCTAACATGTTATTCAAGAGCGTATATAAGCGCGTGCGTCAACACCCTCTCGAGGAGGCTCAACAAGACCAAGAATTGGACCGTCGCGCTCAAGACGCTCATGCTGATCCAACGCTTGGTGTTGGAAGGTGACCCTGCGTACGAGCAAGAGATCTTCTTTTCAACCAGGCGTGGAACGAGGTTGTTAAACTTGATAGGTTATAGTATATTTAATCGTTTATTTATATTCTTTAGAGAGCAAGTGAATTTAAATGCCAGGTTAAACTAGCTACTATAGGATTGTGTCTTAAACTTTCAATGTTATGTCTAGTTGTTTTTTGAAATTTAAAATATATTTAGTAGGCACCTAACCACGCAATTTTGTATCTAATAATATATTATTTTTTAATATCTAATACCGTGACACATCAAATGAAAATTAAAAGTTTGGATATCTACTAAATACTTTTTAAGGTCTAGGGACTCATTTAAAATATTGCAAACTTCTACTAGACCCACTTATGTAATATAATTTTGAAAGTTCAACAACTAAACTTGTAATTTAACACCAAAAGTTTAAGCTTATAAAGTATGGTACTAGATACATTTAATCATTTACTCACATATTCTTTTAACACAGGTTCCTCAACATGTCAGATTTTAGAGACGTCTCTCAATCAGACTCTTGGGATTACTCGGCATTTGTTCGCACTTACGCATTGTACCTCGATGAAAGGCTCGAGTATCGCATGCAAAGTCGACGTGGGAAACGCAGCGCATTTGGAATAGAGGATGAAGAAGAACAAAACAATCAAAACAACATCAACAACATCGACACTAACAATAACAACAACAGCCAAGCCATTGTTGTAAGAGCCGCACCGGTACAAGAAATGACAACTGAACAAATATTCTCAAAGACACAGCATCTACAACAGCTTCTCGAACGCTTTTTGGCTTGTCGTCCTACAGGTTTGTATCCATATCCTCAAAATCATATACAAACGAAAATAAAGTCTCCTCTAAATTCATTTGTTTTTTCCTCCTTTTTTTTTCTTCTACAAACTAAAAGGCTGTTAAATTTTTATTGACCGATTAGCACCTAAGTATTTTGATCGAATCAAGTTGGCATGAAAATGAATGGATTATGTTCGGGTGTGGTTATTGGGCAGGCGCTGCAAAGAACAATAGAGTGGTGTTGGTGGCATTGTATCCAGTTGTGAAGGAAAGTTTCCAAATATATTATGACATAACTGAAATAATGGGGATTCTAATCGATCGTTTCATGGAGCTGAACATCCCCGATTGCGTCAAAGTGTACGAGATCTTTTGTCGTGTCGGGAAGCAGTTTGACGAGCTAGATCAACTGTATTCCTGGTGCAAAACCATTGGAATCGCTCGCTCTTCCGAGTACCCTGAAGTCGAGAAAATAACTCCAAAGAAACTCGAAGTGATGGACGATTTCATCAAAGACAAGTCCGCCTTGGCCCAGTGCAACAGGGACAGACCCAACAAGCCCCTCCAGCTCCAAATCACAGAACAAGAAGAAGAAGACTCAAAACAAGAACAAGAACCAGAAGATCAAGACATGAACGCCATTAAAGCTCTTCCCCCACCTGAGGATTTCAAGCCTGAACAAGAACCAGCAGCCATTGAAGTGAAGGAGGAGAGTGAACCAAAGGAAGACGAGAAGAAGAAGGATGAGAATCCAATGATGTGTGATCTGTTGAACTTGGGAGAAGATCATGCCATAATGAGAGAGGAGAATGCTGATAAATTGGCGTTGGCATTGTTCGATGGAAGTGGGCCAAAAGTTGAGGCTTTGCCAGCGCCAACATGGCAGGCCTTTAATGAGGAAACTTCAGATTGGGAGACTGCGTTGGTTCAATCAGCAAGCAATTTGAGCCATCAAAGGGCTGAACTTGGGGGTGGATTCGACATGCTGCTTCTGGATGGGATGTATAAGCAGCCCACAGTAGTCACAGGAGTGGGCAGCTCAGGGAGTGCCAGCAGCATGGCTCTTGGGTCTGCAGGAAGGCCTGCCATGCTTGCCTTGCCGGCCCCTCCGCCTCCGGGAGAAGGCGGCGCTTCGAGTTCCTCGAGCGACCCTTTTGCGGCATCGGTGGCGGTGGCGCCGCCATCGTACGTCCAGATGTCGGAAATGGAGAGGAAGCAGAAGCTGTTGGTGGAGGAGCAGCTGATGTGGCAGCAATATGCGAGGGATGGGAGGCAAATACAGCACAACCCTTATGCAGGAGGATTCACACACAGTTATTAGGGTTTTTGATGGTTTGGTTTGGTTTTTAATATCCTAACTGATCACTTTGTAATTCTATGCCTCTTTTATTAGTACTTTTCTTTTCCTACTCTTTTCATTGTAATTTCTCCACATTGCTTTTTTTTTTCTTACTTGGCAAAGGAACCAACAATGTGTCTATGTGCTGTTACTTTTGGTAGGGGGTCACACAAGGTAAATAAGTAATTTTGTTGAACATTTGCTTTGTGTTTATTTAGTTAATTTTCTCTCTTCTACTTCTAAAGGTGCCATGGCAATTCATTGTCATTAGTTTCTCTTTTTCTCATTGTTTTTTCCCCTCAAAATTTAGTTCCTATAACAAACAGTACAAGGAAATTACTAAATTATTGTAGGCAAACAATCTAATCACATTGTAGAATTCGTTTGGTTAAATTAGAGTAGAAATTTTTTAAGATATAGATTAGGTAAAAGACATGTCAGATTATCTAATGATGACCATTTGTTCTCCTCTAAATTCCCAATAATTCCCCATGTATTATGTCAGGTAAGTTCTTTATCCGCCAAATTTTAACATTCATTGTAAAATATTAGTATACCTTGCAATAGGAGACAAGATCTCAACTAGTCGAGTACTAGATTATCGTAACGCTTCCCTTCCAACTTACCAAAGGAAAGTGATGGTCCTAAGGAGGAGGGTGGCATGGAAGGGTGAACAGTTCCACAAAAAAACCAACCAAACATCCGAAAGCAGGGGACAACTAAGGGAGGAGAAAGGAAATACACCTGCATATATGTTGCTAGGAAAAATGGTCGAATCCATATGAAACAATAAATGAAAAATATGTTACCAAACAGTCCCTAACAAACTCCGAACATAAGCCAAAAAAAAATTAGACTAGAAAAATAAGTCGGTGACGAGGTAATGGGAAGAGAGAATGAAAGGTAAATGTACTATAGAACAGGAGAGAACACGAAAGCACCATTTACCTAAAGTCACGAACAATTCTCCCCTAAATACTACAAAAATTAAGTACTTTTAGTTGGCTTAAAGAACATCACCCTTTCAATAAAGTCATTTCAAATTCACTTATTTTAAATCACTTTTTAAGTAGGCACAGGAAGAAAATCCGGTTTCGCATTTCATATTCACTCTTTTTTATTCTCAAATAAATTTTCTAGTAAAATGAGATATCTGATTCTGAGCCGCCTCTAACATTTCCATTTCGCAATTCAAATTCTGAGTGCGAATCTGTACATTCCTAAGAACTAGAAGAGGAGATCTCTCTCGATCTCGAATTGAGACTTGCCCCCCAGGGGAGGCTCGGGGGACCTGTCCTCCGATCTCTTTCAAAAAACAAGGTGGCAGTAGTTTTTATGACTTTCAGCTATGTAAACAAGCAATAAGCATCGTGAAAATTTTAAAAGTTCATTTAATCAGTCATTCAAAAATCATGTCAAACTCACCCTTCCATACCTACATAACAGATTTTGAGTTCCTGGTAAATTTACAGAAAGAGAGAGAACGTTCATTTCTTCTCTCTTGTTTCCAAGACCTAAAAACTGAGATAGAAATCATTGCAGGCAGCGTACAACACTGCTGTGATACATACATGCAAATTTTATTAGTATCCACAAAATCTACCAGATCTCCTGTTCTTATTTTTACGTGGGAATGGGGTAGTACCAGAGTAAAATAGATGGTATCTACAGATGAAAAGAAAAACTCGAGATAACTATGAACAGGGTAAAAAATGACATACACAAGTGAGCTCATTTTCGATCATCTAAGGCACAACTTCTTACGTCTGGAAAATCAGCTTGAGAAACTGTTCTGGTAGAAAGACCAAGCTTCATCCCGACACGAACCAAGGTTTCAAGTGATCTGGAACTATTTGCTAACAGGTCCTCATCTATCTGGATCGAGTCCTGCACGACAATTTGCAGTTTGAACTTCACAAATTTGTTATAAATAGCTGGTAAAAGAGAAACAATGCAAATTTCCATTTCTTAACACTAAATTTCAGAAAAAAAAAAAAGACTTTTAATCTATATGCAGTTATATAACTTTGAATCTTTGTTAAAACAAAGAAAAGATTATTTTATATGCTAATGTATATGTAAGTAACATAGTTGGGGGGAGAACTGTACAAACTGCAAAATGTGTGAAAGGAAAAAGAAAGAGAGAAAACATATGTATAGAACACAAGTCAAGTAATAAGATCTGGAGACTAAAGTGGTTTCACGATCATATTCATAACCATGCTTGATAAAATGAATTGAACTATATCCTACCGTCCGGAAAGATGCAAACAAGTACTCAAAATATATTATGCATAGTTACAGAATTAGTAAACATCAATTATGATTTGATGTGAGACCTGAACTTTGTTATTACACGAGAAACACGAATATTTTTTTGCAGCTGGATTAAATGGCCAGGAGAAAGTGCAACCACCAGGTACACAAAAAATTTTAAAAAGCAATTTTTTGACATTTCAATACCGGAATGCTAGTATTGCTAGTGTGGCATAAATAAATGATGTAATCTCCAAGAGACTTCCACCAACACCAGCTTTTTCTAAACCTCAATAGCTTCGGTATCTCCTTTAATAATGGTATTTCAAGTACAAATAGATTTCAACCTCTACATGATTGGTAAGACGGACATTACCAGATATGCGTTGAACACAAACCTTTTCAAAGACACAAATTACAGTACTTCCACCGAAAGAAAAATACCCAAACTGCAGGAAAAAAAAACGTCAGTTAGATGATAAGCCTTAGTATGTTACATATAAATAAGGCATGTAAAGTAAATTGCTGTACCTCGTCTCCTTTCTTTACATAATCTCCCTTCCCTTTTGAGAAGGTTATGCTACCAACCATTGTAGCTCCAATTGCAACAAAAGCAACCTACAGTGGTGTTTTATGAAACTCTTCGTCAAAAGATTAATGTGGTGTTTTTGTCTTTCAGTGTTGACAGGTAAGAGGTCAAGAAACATAAATTACTAAGCACCAAATATTTTATACTTACATGCCCTTGGCAACAGCTCAACAAAGAGATTTATGAAAACCGAGGCAGAATTCTAACAATAAAGCCTTTACCGAATGTCAGGGAAGTCTTTATTGAGATTCAACAGGATGAAAGCTGGACTAATTTACTATAGGAAAATTTAAACCTACAATTCAAATTTTCATTGTTTTGCTCACACGATTCAAACACCTTCAGAGGCTTTTGGTTGAGTTTTTTGACGTGACAATGATACTTAACCTTGAAGAAGTTCCTTGTGATGAAGAGAATTTCAAAAGCTCTCCTTCCAGATTTAGAACGTTATAGAAGTTAAAAAGAGTTAAAGAGTTAAATTTATCGAAAAAAAATTTAAAAAGGAACGTTCCTAATCTCTTAAATAAAACAACTCTGGTAGAATTCAAGTTTATAGATAATCCTATAATAATCAATTGGAAATTACGACATGTTACTGAAATTCAGGTTAACATAGGCAAGGCAATAAACAAGATTATAAATATTGCCAATCAAGTTGTATCATCACCTTATAAGCAACATCTGAAAGTAGTACATACCGTTCTCAGATATTCAAAAAGACCATAAGTAATGCAAATACCCAATGCAAACAGGATAAGTTCCGAGTAATTAAAAAAAGCCAACTTTAGGTTTCCTATGCTCAGTGGGTGGGTGCAACCTAGTAACTTAGAGATGCATAAAGTAGTCTATTGTAGCTCAAAGTCTCTAGAGATGAGTTTAAAGCTATAGCACAAGGTGAGTTACTATAGCTGAAAACAATGATGGAAGACATTAAAACAAATTTGATACTCAACATGCAGCTATATTATAATTGTTAGTGATTGAACCAAGCATGAATTCTCAAAGGTAAATTGGAAAATAGACATTAAGCTTATATTTGAGTGACATGAATAAAAACATCTTTATACCTTGCCGAAATCAGCAGATGAAATTATTGCTACTGATCGCTTGTTCTCTGTGAAGACATTGCAATACTTGCTATTGACAGCAATTGGATTAACCTTGCAAGAAAAAGAACAAATTAATGAAAAATGAGATCTGAAATTGTTCTTTTCAAAACAAAATCGAAAAAACATAGCAGATCTTTATATTTATTTGATACAAATTCCATCACATACAGTATATAAGCATCCAGGTATGTCTACAATTTGTTCAATGAATCCAGAAACTGGAAAATGGAAGCGATGGTAATCCTGAAACAGAGTAAAGCTGCTTATAAGTCATAAGGTTAAATACATCACCCCGTTATGTATAGCAAAAATAAGGTTATACCTGTGGTGCCAAACGAAATATCACCAACGCCCCATCAGTAAAAGCACTCGCATGTATATCTTTCCCTAGAAGACCTTGAACCGAAAACTTCCGCCCCTATTATTCAAAATACAATAATTTCAGATGATAAGCTTTCATCGATCAATCTGTGCAGCAGGAATAAAGAAACCCAGAAGATATATATTGTTCATTTCTGTGAAATCAGTGTTTGGAAATGTCATTAAAAATTTATAAACAAAGAAATCCCCCTATATAATTATTATACAACTTCTGTTACATAACAATTGCCGTAGACATGTTCTCTTGCAGAGGCCTAATATATAACGAGAAATGAAATGCATTATCAAAAAAATTTCCTGATACCAACCAGTATCATGATTTGATAAGAGAGTTTTCACTAGACTTATTTTAGATGTTTTAGAATATAATTTCAATTAAACTTGGCTGAAAATTTTGCATGATTCTACTTTAACTAAAGACCTGTAATCTGGATTCTGTTTCTTGTTTCAAATTCATGGTTTTAGTAACTATTTGTTTGACATTTGTTTTTTGAAACTGTTTCTGGATTCTGTTATCCAAATAGTAAAAATTCTGAAAACAACATTTTTCGATTTTTAGTATAATTAGATTTTGAATTTGAAAACTCGAAATGCAAAATTACACTAAAAATAATAAAAACTTTGATAAATATACTATTTTAGGTTACAAACTCATTTCATTTTTGTTAAAATTTAAAAGATAAAATATTACAAATTATATATAATTGTAAAATAATAATTCTACAAATTTTATACCATATATGTTAATATATTTATTAATATTTTTTTTTTAGTACAATAATTAATATGATTTTAAATTGAACTAATTATTTAAGTCGGTAACTGCCACTAGTTTACAAATATACAACTAAACACTTAGAGCAATTTTTCAAATTGAGATTCAATTTTCATATCCGGTACCAAACATATATTCGAAAACATTAAAAACATAGAATACAACTCTATTTTAGTTTTCACTGAATCTCATGCTTTCAGATTACCGATCAAACGCATCCTAAGATTTTCATATGAATTCATTCATCCATTACAAGGAGGGTGTTGAAAGGAAAATGTCCACCTCCCCACCAAATCTTTAAGCTTTCGGTAATGGCAGGAAAATAAGGTTTTTTTCCTTCTATTTTCTTACACCTTCCCTTTATTTTCTTACTGCTATGATCTGTTTAACTTTCAATAACATATAATGCAAGCCCAACCCACCAAGAGAAACACAACAGATGACTTGGTCATGGAAGATGTTAGAACAAAAAACGCTTCTCATTACACAGCTTTTCCAGTAAATTCCTTTATAACTAAGAACATTTTTTCCGCTTCTCGTCCCAAAAAAAAAAAAGGCTGTGTAACCAACTGGGCATCTATTGTTTCTCTTCTTCTACGTGATCAGACTTACTCCACTCTTTCTTGCCACTAATAAGCCCCAGATGGTATAACTGGGCAACTATTGTTTCTCTTCTTCTTTGTGATCAGACTTACTCTTCACTCTTTCTTGCCACTCATAAGCCCCAGATGGTATATATTCTTTGCATTATTTTAGGCTTAACGTAGATAGTTTGAATCTAATTTTGTCTCAGTTTTCAACTTCTTGTTGTTTAGTTTTTTGCAATTTTTCCTTCTACTAAAACGTCTAGGTAGTGTCTGTGTTTGTTAAATGTCAACCAGGGAAAACCAATTTCTTTCAATTTCCCAACTTTTGAAAAATTATAAGCAGAATCCACCACTACCACTTGTTAAAGAACTTTAATGGTAAACATAAACACGCACAGTCCATACACCATATACTGACATCACCAAAGATAAAAAGTACCTTTATCCACAACCTTAGGCTGTCATCAATTGATTTAAATGCCATTAGTCGGCAATCAGCAGCACACACTGCAATATCGTCACATTCCACGTGTGCAACTGGTCTCACACCAGACTTCAACTCTCGTATAAAGAATTCGTTAAATGTCTGCAAATTTGAGAGTTCAAAAAATATTTTATTGGCAGAAACAACACTTCAAATCATTACTATTTAACAAAGCTGTTAGTATCTTAGCTAAATTAATTAATGCCACTACTAATGCAGAGGGTGCAGTGACAGTAGGGCACTGAGTGATAAATGATACTGGTGCATTTTGCTTCCATTGACAGGAAGTAGCATAAAAAGGATAAGCAGACAAATGAAGGAAAAGGGAAAGAAGTATTCTCAGTATTCAAGTTAGATATTTGTAATCTCAGTGTGGAGCAAAAGCTCAAGGCAACAGATGTATGAAGGGTTCTTCTGCACAAGTTCGGGTATGATAGCCTTCAGTCCAAAGATCTCAAACTAAGCTACACATACTTTTTCATTGCAGCTTAAGGAAGATATTTTTTCTCCTTTTTACTATTTCATCTAAAAAGTTAAAATAGTTTAAGTGGCGTCTTTTTTTACTAGATTTTTACATCTTTGTCATTTTCTTTGCCATTTGAACAAACAGAAAAACAACTTTACAGAAGGTGATAAACCTTTTTTTTTAGAAGAAACAGATTTCATTAATGTAATGAAATAGAATAGATGTACAAAAGGGGAAGATCCGAAACCAATGGAGGTGATAAACCTTTATTAAACTACATTCTAAAAAGATAATGGTGCCTTTAATGAAAAGTTCTGTTTCCTTTAAAAGTATACCGAAACTTAAAAACTTGTAAAACACAAAAGTCTACATGGTTTGACGTGAATAACATTCACTGGTTTTTATATTTAAATCTATAAGCTAAATGGTTTTATTATTTACCACAATACAATATTACATATTCATTTTGAAATGTAATGCACATGCTGACATAACACAATAAAATTTTGTAACACTCTTCCTCGTAATATAGTAATATATGCATCATTAAGAAAACTCAAGTATGCAACAGGGCAGTGATATTATCGTCATTCCAATTCTAGTGATGCTTGAAAAAAGTATTATTTGCAAGTCATTATAAAATTGTAGAAAATTGACTAAAAAACTAAAGACATCTATTTAACACTTGGAAAGCTCATAATGCTTCTTATTCTCAATATTTACTTTTGTATAACTTAGGGTGTCCAAGTAAAGTCAATTTATCCTTTTAGTTTAGTCGTTAAGCCGAGCTTGTCCTTTCAATTATTATGTCAACATATGGTATAGCTCAGACCTTTACTTTAATACTAACCATAATTGTAAGCCTATTATCATAAAACCCAAAAAGTCATAAACTAATGGACCCTTCAAATTTCGAATGTTTTGCTCAGTTCTTGGAAACAGCACATTTGACAAGGAAAAACAGCTAAACATTTTGTTCATATATTTTATCTACATAATGGTGCTTGTCCCGACTCTTGACAATGCCAGAGTATTATCAACCATTAAAATGCATTTAGGTTAAGACGAACGCAAGACTTTTTAGCTGTTAACACCAAAAAACTACAAGAACAAATATTTTAAAAGGATTGTGCTAAAAATTCCCGAGAATCATGCAATAACAAAAAAAATATGGTGACTATCAAATTTGGGCAACAGAACGAGGATAAAGAAAACACTTCCACAGAGACAAAGGAAGCAATTTATTTATCATGCACAATGCTCCTTTTTTTTTCTGCTTTTGGACAAAATGGTACTTTGCATTGATAGGTAAAAAGTTGTAATGGCAAAACCTCTTACACAACTCAGCCACTATCTAGGGGCATCTTAAGAATCCAACATCAAAAAGATAAGGGACTTAACAAGTTTAAAAATACATGGGCTACTCCTCTATTGGCAATTGGTTTTGAAATGGAACCCTGCGAATATTAACATGGTATTAGGTATGAGGTCTTGTGTTCAACCTCTGTAGTGTTATTTCCTCCCCATTTATTATTGATTATCACTTGTTGGGTCTTGTGCAAATTTCCAAACCCACAAGTGAAGGGAACTGTTAAATCTATAAATAATTAAATTTACCCTAACCTAAAAGTTTAAGTTTTTGGATTGACCGGTGATTTAACAAGATGTGCTCAAAAAACAACAAAATTCAACAACTTTTAAAACGTTGTGCAAATTTCCAAACCCACAAGTGAAGGGAAGTGTTAAATCTATAAATAATTAAATTTACCCTAACCTAAAAGTTCAAGTTTTTGGATTGACCGGTGATTTAACAAGATGTGCTCAAAAAACAACAAAATTCTACAACTTTTAAAACGTCATAGAATATTTCTGGAAGATAGAATTACAGTATGTTTCTAAGTTGTCATAAAAAACAATATATAGTCGGTGGAAACAAGGTTGATAGCATAGGGCTTGCTATAGTAAAACATGCATGCATTAGTAAAACGGTCGTCACATTTTCTCCAGAAAAAAGAAATAAATAAAAATAAAAAAACCAATAACCTACCTTGAAATGTTCCAAAGGATGCTTCACCTCACTCAAATTGAGTTGATCCTACAAAACCCACTAAACATTGTCATCCATTATAAAGTACATTTAAAGAAAGATATTTCCAGAGAAAGAAATAAGGATTTCTCCCCATGAAAATGCTAGACATCAAGGTGCGAGGGCGACTGACATAACTATTTTTCTTTTCCAACAAGAATAATATATAAGAAAGTTGGATCAGTACAATTCAGAAAAAACAACTATTTGGATACCAACACAAGAATGCTGGATTTCTTTGACAACAGTAAAGAACAAGGTAGGGCCAGAGAAGACAAAGGGATCATTTTTTTTTTCTTTTTTGATAACCGGGAGTCGGAACTTTCCTCCCCTATATCCAGGGACACCCGTGCCCGTCTCAAGGCCCGAACTTGAGAGACATCAAGGGTTTTTTGTATTGAGCTGACTAGAAGGTTCGAATATGAGATCTCTAAGCTAATATGACCAAGAGACCCCAAGCACTTGCCAACTAGGCTGCCCCTTTTGGGCTGAAGGGAGCACTTTTTGAAATGAATAAATCATGTTTTGAGAATGTGATTTTAGTTAACTTTTACACATTGTCCTCACCCGTCACAAGTTTAATATTTATGCCAGAAAAATTGTCTTAAATTATTCAATTCTTTTAAATACTTCAAAATACTAATGTATTTTCCTAATTATTTTTAGAGTATCATATTTCTTAAAATATAATACTAACAAAAAGAAAATAATAAAAAAATTAAAAAGTCCATACAAACTTTCTTTGATAGTAAAAGGAAAACCATCGTGTCTAAATTACATCCAATTTGCATTAAAGCCCCAATTATGATCACTGTCATCTAAGGAATGATTGATAAAAATTGAAGATAAAGATCAACACCAAGATACTTTAAATTTAGCAACATTAAAGCTACTATTAATGTAGTGATCCAAATGAAATTGGCTTCAGATTAGAGGCTAGAGCTTAACACCACATAGAAGCTGAAAAATGTTTTCCTGGAATCTTTCTCAAACACCCAATGCATGTTGAAGGATTGTAAACAGAATGGCCAACAATTTTTTTTTTATTGGGATAAGAAACAGTGTATTCAAAAGAGCAATTAAAAGAAGGAACAACCTAAGGGTCGAGGGTAGAGATCACCCTCCCCCATGCTCTACACAAGTACAACCTTCCCATCAATGATAATCATTTGTAGGCTATAATTACACAAAAAAAAAAAAAAAAAAAGTTCTTGTTATTTAAGGACCACCAAGAAGCCATATGATGTACATTTCTAAAGGCTCTTTCTCTTCAAAACCCAACTATTTCTTTCTCCCCATAGATGCCATGACAAGGCCCTTACCGTACAATTCCAAAGCACAAAGCACAGATGCCTTGCCTCTAAGGAGGCCCCCTCCAAAGTTCTCCACCAAGAAGTCATCGATCTTTTGAGGAAAACAAAAAGAGATGTCTAGTTCCGTCCGCATAAAAGCCGCAGCTTGAAGGTAAATGGACAATGTCGAAAAAGGTGATCCACGGATTCTGCCTTACTCAAACACATACTACACATAGAGGGGGAAATAACTCAAAATGGAAACCTCTTCTACAGCCTCTCTGCAGTGTTAACACTTCTATAGAAAAGAGACCAGAGGAAGAACTTCACCTTTTTAGGAACTCGAAAGTTCCAAAAGTAATTAACACTGGCGCTTGTAACTTCAGTAAAGGCCTAGTTAAATGCATAAAAGTTGACTTTGCCAAAAAAAACTCCATTGTTATCCAGAAACTCTGTTAAGGCTGCCTATCAGTATCTAGAGATATCTCTTTCAAACAAGTTCTTCAAAAACCCAAATCTCAGGAAAGGGAAGCCAGCACCCAACACTCCGCTATGAAGCACTCCTTTTTTCTTTTTTGAACAAGATACAAAAATTTTCATTGAGAAATGAAAATAAACAAGTGTTCAAAGATACAAACTCCAAAAATGAGTGAAAGGAAAAATGAAAATACTAAACAACAGAAGAAATAAGAAACTAAGTAGAACATAGAAATACATTCCATGAATCATAAATTCGTCTAGCTGTGTAGTTCTTGAAAATTGGCGAGTAGAGCACCAAAATGAGGCTTTGAATCTGGCAAGTTCAAAACATTCCACCCAATCTTTACTTTTCTCATGGAAGAGTCTTTGATTCCTCTCAAACCAAAGTTCAGACGTAATAGCTTTGACTACGTTTACCCAAATCAAACAGGCCTTCAGAGAAAGAATAGGACCATGAAGAAAACCCAATGCAAACTAAAAAAAAAGAGAGGAGTTTTAGCCAACATTTTAGTGCATAAGAGCCATGGAAAAAAAGATGATCTTGACGCTCGTTGTGAGAGAGACACATGAAGCAAAAAATAAGGTTGAAGAAGCCGTTTGGGAAGCTTTTTCTAAAGGATATCTGAAGTGATAAGATTCCCCTGCAAAAAAATCCATATAAACACACTGACCTTCTTTGGAGAATTAGAAGACCAAATTGCCGAGATGATTTCTTTAGGCAAAAGAGGGCTGAAATTCTTTGCAACAGCAAGCACTCCTTTGGAGAATTGGATGACATTCTGTAGGAGTTGGGAAATAAAATGGACAGAGGGGTGGGATTTACCCAAGCATCTTCCCAAGATCTCATACTTCTCCCACTTGATGATTGACAAAACCACAAACCTGAGGAACACCTCTCTATTCTTGTCACTGTCGATCCAAGATCTTCCTTTGGGCAAACTGATGGCTGATTTAGTAAACCACCGAAGGGCTGAAGACCATAGATGGTCGCTATAATCTTACGCCACAATCTATCTTCTTCTTGGGAGAATTGCCACAGCCATTTGAGAAGAAGGGCACGATTTCTCTATTTCAAAAAACCCACCCCTAAACCTCATTGTTGTTTCGGCAAACACACCAAATTCCACTTCACAAGACTAGAAACTGGTTTGGGGCACCTCCATTACCGATAAAATCTCTCAAGATTTTCTCCATTGCTTGAATAACCCGTTTTGAGGCGTGAAGAATGGAAAAACAATACACTGGGATAGCATTTAAGACCGCTTGGGCAAAAGTTAACCTCCCCCCTTGAAAGCTGAAAGTTCCACCATTTATCAAGTCTAGCACTAATTTTGTCCACTACCAGTTCCCCAAAAACCACTTATTTTTTATTGCCTCCTAAAGGAAAGCCAAGATAGGTGATAGGTTTTCCATCCTACAGCCAAACAAGCTAGTCCACAAGTCAACTTCAGAAGCACTACAATTTATGCCAATCAGTGAAGACATAGCCACATTTAGGGCAAGTTCAGAAGCTAGAAGAAAGAAATTGAGAGCCCCCCACTAATTGGCTAACATATCCGACAAATGGGGGCTGGCTAACATATCCGACAAATGGGGGCAAAATATCAAGATGTCATCAGACAGAACAATTCCACATATGAGTAGAGGAAAAGAATATAATTTTGATCCTCATTTGCCTTCTTCAAACAGAGTATACAAATAGAAGATTGCAGTGTTATAAACAGGAGCTTTCTCTGAAGCTTTTCTTCAGTGTTTAAACCTCTGTTAAGCAGGATCCAAATGAAAAAATCTACCTTCTCGAGACTCTTAGAATTCCAATCAGCTCTGAACAAAGCTTTAGGCATTGAAAAACAATTGTTAACCACCTTTGATAAGGAGTTGACCACAAATGAACCAGAAGGGTTTGTCTTCCACATTAATCATTTTATTTTTTTGCCCAAATTTGAATGCCTTCCACAATAGCCTTCCACATTAATCATTTTATTCTTTTGCCCAAATTTGAATGCCTTCCACAATAGCCAAAAGAGAACTTAATTACCCAATTTCAGATTCCTTTTTCTTACTGTAGTAGCTATCCAAGATTGGCAAACTCCATCCCAGCAATCAAAAACTATATGATTTGTATTTGAAGGAACTCTTAAAAAGAGCAGAA